AATTCTCAAGGAAAAAGCTCCTTCAGCCTTATCTCTGCTTAATTTCTGCTACATAAAGTCAATGAGTCTCACAGATTTTTTATTCCTTGTTATTCTTTTGCTATACCATAATACTTCATAATGCAATGTGTGGACTATCACAAGATTTATTCTGACTGGGTCTCTTTACACTTAGATGCCATGTCTTACAAGCCATTCATCAAACTGCTGACAGAGTGAATTCTTTACCTTCAAAATAAGTGTCCTTCCACCAAAAATATAAAACCATTTGATTTCAAACATTTGATATTATTTCCTTTTATTAGCCATCATTTCTGCTTATGACATGTTTTGTATGTGAAAAATATTTATGTAGAGAAAATGTCACCATATCTCACATGCTCTTGTGATTTTTGTACAGACCATTTTCTCTTACTCTGCCTGTCTCAGTCTCTTTTATCTGGTAATTTCTAACTTAAAATTGTTCCCCTTCATAGGCAATTTATTCTGCCCATTTTGATTAAAAGTACATAATCATTCATTCTTATTAATTGAAAAGTGCTTTTTCTGTATAACTGTATAATAATGTTTAGCAACCAGGGTGATGTGTTTTTCCCTACACATCTACGGGCTATTTGATGATATCCGAATACCTTTTTAGTGCCAAGATGAGAAACAGCTACTGACATCTAATGTGTAAGAAACAGGGATGTTGTAAACCTCTACAATGCAGAGAATTACCCCAAAACAAAAATTTATCTGACCTATACCGTGGTGGGCTCCCCGGTGGCTCAGTGGTAAAGACTCTGCCTGTAATGTGGGAGACCTGGGCTCAACCCCTGGGTCGGGAAGATCCGACCCACTGGAGAAGGCAATGGCAACCCACTCCAGTATTCTTCCCTGGGAAATCCTGTAGACTGAGGAGCCTAGTGCGCCATAGTCTATGAGGTCACGAGGAGTCAGACACTACTTAGCAACTAAACAACGTCCCATGCTTAGGGAACACTGCCCAAAGAAAACTGTCATTAGGACTCATAGAGTTAGAATCAATGAAAAAGTTAATCTAAGAAACAAATCTGAAATTTTATTTGTGCCAAATTGAAGATTATAATCCAGGAACAACATCTCAGAAAAATCTGTGGACTGTTTCCCCATTAGATATGAAAGCACGGTTATCTAAATTTTAGGGCATAGAAAGTTGTACTTTGGATGATGCATTATTGACAGTTTATATAATCCAGATCTCCAAGAACAACGTGGTGGGTCATTGCAACCCCTTATAAGGTGAAGAAGGAATATTACCTTTTAAGGAGTTGTGGTGTCAGGAGAGTGTCTTTCTAATGAAGCAGGTATTTCTGCCCACAGGCTAGTTTGGTCTGACGCTTAAGACAGATAAACATTGCAATCTAGCGGGGAGAATAGGTCAAAGGGCAGAGAAAAGTATTTCATGTTTAAATTATTTGTCTTCTCCATAAAATAAGAATTTTCTTTCTCAATAGGAATATGAAATGATCATCTGGAAAGATAACTGCATTTTTCATAAGAGATACTGTATTTTACACTGAAGGCACACTGTTCTATTTCGGTATCTGCTCATTTGTTTACTGCTCTCTTCTCTTTGCTCACCTTTCTGCAATTATTCACAGTATTAACTTATCTAGAGCTATGGCTTCCATGTTTTATGGATTCTCTAGGTCAAATATTCCTTATACAGCCATGTTAAATCTCTCAAATATTCTGGATAAAGAGAGTAGCATATATTTTTGAGTCAAATCACAGAGATTGTTAATAAGTATGTGGATAGCATGATGTTCCAAGTGGGGTCCTATGCCAGATAAGTAGCATCTAACAAACGTGTACTATAATGTATGTAGTAAAACTATTTAGTAAATTAAGAAGCTAACCTAAGGGTTGTCTTCTTTTAGATCCTGAGAGGAACAATCTCATTGAAATCTTTCGTGTATTTTCATACAATCCATCCTGATTTAGATGTACTCTGAATGTATCTCCTCATATTTACTGAATTACAGCTGTAAAATCTCAGAAGACACAAATTACTTTTTTTGTTTTACCTAGATCAATATCCCATATAATTTAGAACAAAGTACATTTACTTATGGGCTTCCCTGGTGGTTCACTGGCAAAGAATCTGTCTCTCAGTGCAGGAAATGAGGGTTCGATTCCTGGATTGGAAGATTTCCTGAAGGAGGAAATGGCAATCCATTCCAGTGCAACTTCCCTGGGAAATCCCATGGACAGAGGAGGGCTACAGTTCATGGGGTAGCAAGAGTCAGACATGACTTGGCGAGTGAACAACAACAAATATTTATTTATAAATTAACAAGTCTTAGCTTTTCATTAACAAAATAAGGTAATGCTAATATAATCGTCAGAGGAAAATTTAAAAAAATTAAAAATTTACAAACTTAGATAAATAATATAATACATATTTAACAATGGTTGACACTACTTTTTGAGTTTCAAGCGCTCAGCACAATGTAAATACTTCATAGTTATATGATAAATACATTGATATTTGTTCTACAGTTGGTGCAAGTAGTTCTTTGATTATAGTGGATGCTTAATTAATATATACTTAATAAAATCATTAGGAAATAAACTTCTCAAATGTCAAATTCTGATTTGAAATATATCTGTTTGGTATATTGTGTATTTGCTCCAAGAAGAGTTTCTAAACATGAGTGTCTAAAAGGAAAGCCTTATTCATAGGGGCATACATTTTGAGAAAAATAAGCAACAAATGCTCTTGCAATTGACCTCAGGTAGGATAGATATATCTTTTTGTCTGTGAGCGAATCTTAGCTTATCAGGGGAGACAACTTGAAGGATGATGGAGAGAATATGAACAGAGATTTTCCTTATTCTGAATCTGTTGTTTTAGGATTTTCTCATAGTCTTTGTTTTATATTTGCTTTAATGGTTCCAAAAAGGAGCTTTATAATTAGTCAAAAAAAAGTTACTAATTAGTAAATTAACATTTTGCTTTACCTGGGGTTAAGCACACCACACATCAGTATATATGTATTCACAGAAGAAATAGTAGGGAATTGGCAGCCTGAGAAAACCCCAAAGAGTTCGGAAAATAATAAGACAAAGTCACTGATAGGAGGTCCTGAAAGCAAATAGTGGTATGAATGAACTAACTAGTGAAGGGCAGAGACAAAGAAGGAGATGAATCTGGTCCTATGAAATACAATTGTGTAAAAGAAAAATGTCAACTGTAGAAATTGTATTTTGAGTGGCTATTAGATGCATAAGTCTATAAGTAAAGGAAACATTACATTTAATACAAGTTCTTATGTTATTCCAAATAATTAAGAAAAAAAAAAAAAAGCTTTTCACTCTAATGGATATTGGTAAAGAGAGGGAGGAACAGAAGACTTAGGCTGACACTTGAAATTGAATACAAGTGATGTACACATAACAGGGCATAGTGAGAACAAATCTTAAAGAAACTGTTAAGGATAAGGGGATAACACCCATGAATTTAAAAGTAATGGATTTATTTTCTGAGAGCTTAAGTAGAGGAAGGTAAAGATGTTTGACTCACTTTTGGGAAAACACTGAAGGTTTGAATAATTAGTTGAAAGCACTCTGAGCCAGTGTATTTCAGAGGGATCTGGCCTAGAAGAAACCAATTTAAGAGAAAAAAAAAAAAAAAATAACAAGCTGCAAAACCAAAAAATATTCTAATCAAACTTGCTTTCTGATTATGATCAAACAGAATGACTTACCACTACTATAGATCCTTTTTGCCACAGTAGGTACAGTCTAGTCTTCAAATTCATTACTTTGAATTAAATGAATTTTTCCCTCAATGTCAATTGGTAAGTGACCAAGAAAGAAAAAAAGCACTGATGATGATTAGCAAGCACAAAAGCACAAGCTAAGGGGAATCTCTTTCAGTAGTCATGGACCAGAAAGAAGTTGTTGTACAGTCCACTTAATTTTTCTCACTGAAAAAAAAATAATAAAGTCATGCAGAAACATAAAATCTGATGATTAGTTACTTAAAGACATTGAGAAAAGAGATGGAAAATTAGAGAGGAGTCATTGGGCAGAGAAAGTAAGATGGTATCCCTCTAATCTCACTAAAGTATATTTTGCCAAAATAATTCACTCTAATTTTTATTTTTGCAGTCTTAACAGGAATTAAAAGATGACATAGAAGGAGTCCTTCTTGATTCCACTACTCAGATCGCCATGTTCAGACCCAATGGCTCAGTCTTCATGCCCTCTGTACTAAAGCTCATCGGGATTCCTGGCCTGGAGTCCGTGCAGTGTTGGATCGGGATTCCATTCTGTTTCATGTACCTTATGGCAATGATTGGGAATACTCTAATTTTAGTGATAATCAAATATGAAAACAGCCTTCATAGTCCAATGTACATTTTTCTGGCCATGTTGGGGGCCACAGACATTGCACTTAGCACGTGTATTCTCCCCAAAATGTTAGGCATCTTTTGGTTTCATTTGACAGAGATTTCCTTTGATGTCTGTCTTCTACAAATGTGGCTTATTCACTCATTCCAGGCAACTGAATCAGGTGTTTTACTGGCCATGGCCCTAGATCGCTATGTGGCCATCTGTAACCCCTTGAGACATGGCAATATCTTCTCCCCAAATCTCTTGACTTACATTGGAATTGGTGTGATACTCAGGGCTGTCGTTCTTATAGCACCATGCATAGTGCTTATCAAATATCGTCTCAAATTCTACCGAACCACAGTCATCTCCCACTCTTACTGTGAGCACATGGCCATTGTGAAGCTGGCTACTGAAGATATACGGATCAACAAGATATTAGGTCTGTTTGTTGCCTTCACTATCTTAGGATTTGACATCAGCTTTATCACTTTGTCCTATGTTCAGATCTTTGTCACGGTCTTTCAGCTACCCCATAAGGAAGCGAGACTGAAAGCCTTTAATACATGCATCGCCCATATTTGTGTCTTCCTGCAGTTCTACCTCCTTGGCTTCTTCTCTTTCTTCACTCACAGGTTTGGCTCTCACATACCACCATATGTTCATATCCTTTTATCCAGCCTTTACCTGTTAGTTCCACCTTTTCTCAACCCAATCGTCTATGGAGTGAAGACCAAACAAATTCGTGACCATGTCCTGAAAATGATCTTCTCCAAAAGACATCCTGATCATTAGTGGCTCCTTCTGTAGACATTTTAGGTTAGTTCAAAGTAGCAACTTTAATATGGTGAGAAGTTGCATCATGAAAAATTATACAGCTGAAAACAATCTTTAAAACTCTAACAAATCCTCAAATACTTAAAAACTTGAGTTTGCTATTCACATAAAGATAAGCTCTCTTATGCTGACATTTCAAATTGTTTCTGTTACTCTTGTTTGGTTCTGTTTATTTAAGCCTAGAATTTCCCTTCTAGCAACACATATTGACAGCAAAATTGCAGAAAACAGCACTTCATTTCCAGTAATTTTCAAGCACCATGAAATATATCAATATTTTCAGGTTGCTAAACCAATTCAAAGCTATAATTCTAGCTATGTTTCACTTTCTAACATTTGTTTATGAATCTATATTTTGACTTTTTATAATTACTTATCTATTTTTGTCTATTTTCTCTGAATAACTGATGGATATATAAACTATGTAAGATTAGTAATATCAATATCAGAAATATAAAATCTGTATGATGCTGACCAAAGTCTATAAACACTGAGGAGTTTTCACAAGAAAGCATGCATTAAAAAACACTAATAGAAATTTTCAGCATATTCAAAAATATATATTTTTTAGCCAAAACATCCAATCAGTATCTAAATAGATATCTAAATATTTCTCTCCTTCCAGAGAGAAATATTTTAATGATTTTACCCAATTTGAGATTTGCTTGAAATTAGAGCTTTAGTTCTAGCATTGAACTCATATACAAATACATTTTCACTGCATTTAGAAATTTCGTGCTGCAAGTATCTTGAGTAGAGGAACTGTGTCTAATTGGTGGTTTTATTAACAGTAAGGTAATGCTTGAGGCTTCTTCAAACTTCAGAAAAATGGCATTGAATAATGAGCAACTAAGCCATTTTCCTACTGTTGATCAATGGTATTCAAAGCCAACAAATAAAGAGACTTTAGAGTAATAAAAAAAACTTTTAAGAAAAACACAGTAAAAAAAGAGAGCTATCTGAATATGTAGTTGTAAACTAACGCATAGTCAAAGAAAGAAATAACCCAACATTTCACTACAAAAAAAGGAAAAAGAAAGAATAAGGAATCATGTCATTTAAGAGGCAGAAGCAGATAATTATTTTCGAAGGAATAATTTTGTTGAATAAAGCAGAATGAACTTGTGTCATGATGTACTTTTGCAACTGACCTCAGGTAGATTAGATACTGAGCAGCATGTGAAATCTTTGGAATGTATGCTCTGGACCAAGGATTGAACTCATGGCCCCTGTATTAAAAGGGCGGAGTCTTAAACACTGGACTGCCAGGAAAGTCATGGACTAAGTTTTTAATAAATTTTTTATAAACCTGAGGTATATGAAGAAAGGAGAAATACACTGAGGGATTTAATAAAGCAATATGTTAGTGAATCTCAGATGTACAAATATTTCTTTAATGAGGTAACAGAAACTTAATTACTTTTAAATCTGTTACAGCATTAAATGTTTCAAAAATCTGTGGCAACCATAGTGCATAATGAATAACTGATGAAGACATCCACCTCTAAAAAGAAATAAACTAGCATATATATGAATTCTCTCCAAGAGGTTATAGCATGTAATGTGCACAGAATGAAGATAAAAAGTTGTGATATCCCTGAATAGGAAACCAAGGCAAATGGAATGTGATGACAATAACCAATTAATTATGCAGGAATTGGGAGAACCGTATTCCAAAATATAAAGTGCAAAAATATGCCAAAGTGCATAAATTATACTAGAAAATGCACATACATTTGAAAAGCTGAATAAGAAAAATCAACCTAGCTGTATCAACAACAACAAAAAAAACAAACACATTCCATATGCATCAGAATGCATGGCTTCATTTACCTTCTGGAGTATGAGAAAAGGCAAACAACATAAACCAAAAAAGTACATCATCATACAGAAAAAGTAATTTTCAAATGAGGTATGTAGGGTATAATATGACTGTGGGTTGACAGTCACATTTTTTAAGCCTATAATTAGCTAAAGAGAACAATAACAAGTATAATAATCGAGCAACTATTTTTTGTCTCTAAAATAGAAGATTAGAAATAGGTCAATTAGTAAGAGCTGACAGTTCCAGAGAAAATACAAGCAAAGTAATTAACTTAACTTTCATAAGAATAAATAGAATTTAAACATTGATTCAGGTGATTAGAAGAAAGTAATATAACCACTAGTGCAGGTATATTTTCTTTGATTTTTGAAATATAATTCTCATACAGGAAAGTGAAAATAACCAATTTTTGTAAAGTTCATGGAAGTAACTTCTAGATGAAGAAATAATTTCTCATTCCTTACAAGTTTATGTTGTGTTCCTTCACCATTACAGTCTCTCACTCTCCCTAAAGATAATCTCTATATTAATAGCAAAAGTAATTATACATTTTTCTATGTATGTCTACAACCTAAGCATGCATTCTTAAACCTTATAGTTTAGTTTTGCTGATTTTTCAATTTAATATAATTGGAAGTACAAAGTATTGATTTTTTTTTCTGTTTTACTTCTTGTGAATTTTTGACTAGAATATTTTTTGTACACCTATCATGCTCATGTCCCTTGCTGCATAATGTACTCTGATATGAATACACAACACCTTCTTTACCCATTCTCTGTTTATAGGCATTGAGAAGATTTGATTAAGAAGAACACAATTTTAAACATTCTTGTATATGTATCTTGGTGCACTTAGAGTGATGATTTCTGCACCTAAAAGTCATATTGCTAATTCATAGGGTACTGCCAATGTTAGTCAGTGGTGTAATGCATTTCTAAAGTGTTGGTTCAATTATATTCACTGGAAGAATATAAGAATCTTTACTACTGGACATCTTTACTAATATTTGATACAGCTTATCATCATTTTAGCCATATGGTACATTTATAATAGTAGTTCTTTGTGATTTTAGTTACCATTTTCAAGTAAATAATCAGTTCAGTTCAGTTGCTCAGTCTTGTCCGACTCTTTGTGACCCCATGAACCACAGCACACCAGGCCTCCCTGTCCATCACCAACTCCTGGAGTCCACCCGAACACATGTCCATTGTATCGGTGATGCCATCCAACCATCTCATGCTCTGTCTTCCCCTTCTCCTGCCTTCAATCTTTCCCAGCATCAGGGTCTTTTCAAATGAGACAGCTCTCCAAATCAGGTGGCCAGAGTATTGGAGTTTCAGCTTCAACATCAGTCCCTCCAATGAACACCCAGGACTGATCTCTTGAGGATGGACTGGTTGGATTTCCTTGCAATCCAAGGGACTCTCAAGAGTCTTCTCCAACACCACAGTTCAAAAGCATCAATTCTTCTGCGATCAGTTTTCTTTATATTTCAACTCTCACATCCATACATGACCACTGAAAAAACTGTACCCTTGACTAGATGGACCTTTGTTGGCAAAGTAATGTCTCTGCTTTTTAATATACTACCTAGATCAGTCATAACTTTCCTTCCAAGGAGCAAGTATCTTTTAATTTCATGTCTGCAATCACCATCTGCAGTGATTTTGGAGCCCAGAAAAATAAAGTCAGGCACTGTTTCCACTGTTTCCCCATCTATTTGCCATGAAGTGATGGGACCAGATACCATGACCTTCGTTTTCTGATTGTTGAGCTTTAAGCCAACTTTTTCACTCTCCTCTTTCACTTTCATCAAGAGGCTCTTTAGTTCTTCACTATCTGCCATAAGAGTGGTTCACCTGCATATCTGAGGTTATTGATTTCTCCTGGCAATATTGATTCCAGCTTGTGCTTTCTCCAGCCCAGAATATCTCATGATGTACTCTGCATATAAGTTAATTAAGTAGGGTAACAATATACAGTCTTAATGCACTCCTTTTCCTATTTGGAACTAGTCTGTTGTTCCACGTTCATTTCTAACTGTTGCTTTCTGACCTGCATACACGTTTCTCAAGAGGCAGGTCAGGTGGTCTGGTATTCCCATCTCTTTCAGGATTTTCCACAGTTTATTGTGATCCACATAGTCAAAAGCTTTGGCATAATCAATAAAGTAGAAATAGATATTTTTCTGGAACTCTCTTTCTTTTTCAATGATCCAGTGAATATTGGCAATTTGATTCCTCTTGCCTTTTCTAAAACCAGCTTGAACATCTGGAAGTTCACAGTTCACGTACTGCTGAAGCCTGGCTTAGAGAATTTCGAGCGTTACTTTACTAGCGTGTGAGATGAGCGCAATTGTGTGGTAGTTTGAGTAGTCTTTGGCATTGCCTTTCTTTGGGATTGGAATGAAAGCTGACCTTTTCCAGTCCTGTGGCCACTGCTGAGTTTTCCAAAAAGAAAGAACTGCAAAAGAGCAAAATGGCTGTCTGAGAGGGCCTTACAAATAGCTGTGAAAAGAAGAGAAGTGAAAAGCAAAGGAGAAAAGGAAAGATATACCCATTTGAATCCAGAGTTCCAAAGAATAGCAAGGAGATATAAGAAAGCCTTTCTCAGTGATCAATGAAAAGAAATAGTGGGAAACAATAGAATGGGAAAGACCAGAGAGTTCTTCAAGAAAATTAGAGATACTAAGGGACAATTTCATGCAAAGATGGACACAATAAAGGACAGAAATGGTATGGACCTAACAGAAGCAGAGGATATTAAGGAGAGGTGACAAGAATATACAGAAGAACTATACAAAAATGCTCTTCATGACCCAGAGAATCACAGTGGTGTGATCACTCACCTAGAGCCAGATATCCTGGAATGTGAGGTCAAGTGGGTCTTAGTAAGTATCACTACGAACAAAGCTAGTGGAGGCAATGGAATTCCAGCTTGAACATGAGTTGTTCACATTCCTTGCTTCATCCTTGCAATAAAACTGTTCCTGCTCTAAATCCCAACTTTTCAGTTTCCTTGATCTCCTGTGCTTTGCTCATAGGGGTTTGACAAGAAAGTTGTTTTCACATAGGATATAAGTAATATCGTATTCACTGCTTTTTTTTTTTTTTCATTTATTTTTGTTAGTTG